GCGGGCGTCTTCGGCGGGAGGTTGGTAGGTGCCGGGTTGTCTTTGCAGTTAATCCTGAGACATTACAACGTGGGAAGAATTCCACGAGAGCCAGGTGTGAGGGGCAGGGCTTCGATGCTCCGAAGATGTTGACATGTTTGTAGACGAGTGGTGGCTTTTACGAAGATTTGGGAGCACTTTCCCATAGAGGAAGAGATCTTCTGCTCAAGAGGAGGAAACGAACTCTCATGCCTCTACAGGAAACGTATGCTACGAACATCTCCTAAAGAGAAGACTCATCTTCCAAGTCAACCGCTGAGTTCCTCACTTTTCTCACAGTCACATGTTGATATGCAGTCCTTACGCAATAGTCTGCCGTTCTGCGAGGGGAAGAGAAGAACTAGCATGAATACCACTAGTGCAGTGCAACACCACAAGTCGTACTTGTGCTCGCACACTTGACACTTTTCATGGGGCCGCACAAGAATCCATGCAGGCTTGCGATACAGAAGCGGTTCCTGGATTTGTCGGACAGCCTCCTCGAGAAAGTATGTACCACTGGTGGCGTATCGTGGCCTTGGCTAGACGTGACTTTTTGAGTATCTTGTCGGTGAATCTTGTTGTTGTCATTGATAGGAGTGAGAAGTGGTTTGAGCTGACGATGGGAAGGAGATCCACGCCGCCGAGAGAGGAATATAAAGAGAGGCTCGAATCTCACGAGTTCGGTGATCGATCTGGAGAGACATCATAGACATCACTCGGATCATCATCTTCCTAAACAATAACTGCATATCGATACTCATACTCTCACCTTCAGACACTCAATAAGACAAGAGTATCTTTCAGAGTACCTACCTTACGAAAGACAAGATGGGCAAGCATACCTCCAAGCAGTCTTCTTCGAAGTCCAAGAGTAAAATTTCACCGATCCTCAAAACTAAGAGACCATAGCTAACTGAATCCCCCACCGGCCAGGCTCCGGCACCAGGGCATCCAACGGGCAGAGCTCCTCCTCGTCCAGCACCGTCCCAGTTGACCGATCGCTCGGCAGGAGCCAGACAACAACGACGACCATGGGGGCTCACGACAGTCCGATGGGTATGTGGCTGACGCAGCCGTTCCATCAGGAGCCATACCACAACATCGCCGCGGTGTCGGCGGACGGATCGGCGGCGGGGCAGGCCGACGGACGTCAGGGGTCCGGGGCCTCGGCGACGTACGCCTCGTCCCGGCCGCAGCAGCAGCAGCAGCAGCAGCCGCGATGAAGTATCTACTGCATGGTACTTCGAGAGATCCTAGTTTGACTATGGGACTTTACTAGTTTGTTGTTGCTAGAAGAGTCTCGTCATTGGGTTAACGTCGCCTATTTTCTCTTCTGTCACCACTCTTCACTTCAAAGATAGACTTAGATGCACTTTGCAATAAACATCTTATCCCGCGCCTACTTGGAAGAGCCTCTCGATGCTCTAATTACCCCGCGCATCATCGTGGAGATGAAGGGGTCCAAAATCCGTGCGCACAATGTCAGAAGATACAGAGGGCTATGACTGGCCTGGAGTCATGGCTTGGCGATGAAGTTGGGATGTGGCTTGGGAAGAAGCCAGTGGATTCGGGCTAAAGTTTCATGAGGCTGATGGGGAACTCTGAGAGATTGGGGCCAAGGTGGCTGAGAATGGCGCGCTTTGATTAGTGCCATCAGCCCCGACTCGATGCAGCATAAAGTTGCTATTGAGCAACAAGTCCTCACCATACCTACTATTCCGTCCGAACATGTAAATCTGACCGCGTCCCCAACAACGAACATCGACGACAGAGTTTCGAAGTCGTAATACCTAAATCTCTTCTTCGGGACCCGCGAACGCAAAGTGCCAAGGGAATCTTCGTATTTGCTTTTTTCGGTTCTTCCCCTGCCTGGCCCATCTCTTGGCTGTTGGCCCTATTCGGCACTCGTCCTCTCGGACGCATCCGGGCAAGCGTGCCGAGCCCAACGGCGCAGCTTGGCAAGGCCTCCCAAGGACCCAAAGCACAGATGGAGACGTCATGCAAGTTGCACAGTCACTTGCCGCTGTCGCCCGTGGGCTGCAAGCAGGCGGCCAAGAGGCTTAGGAAGCACTTGAGAACTCTCTTGAGAGAGGCTGGGAAAGAAGATACGGAATGTTGGGGAGGATTGTAGTTGAGTGAATACCCGGGCAACCCTGACGGTGTGCGTGATATCCCGATGCGTGTGTATATGTGTGTGACTTGTGAATTCGATAGTCTGGAGTTTGAGTACCAAGTTTGGACTTTTGGCGAGATTGAAGAGTTGCAGCGGTGGTCGTAAGCTGACTGAGAGCCGAATTATTTTTGGGGATGAGCGAGGAATTGTCCGGGGTTCAATTTCCCTATTCTCGCATGCTCGCTTGTTGACATCTCGACTTATGTCAGCGGCACAAGTCGATGAGATGAGGTTAGCAAGATACGTACCGTCTCACCCTCTAGGTACCCTCTGCACAGAGTTGCTTGGGTTCATTCTCACTCTCACTCTCACTCTCAAACTGGTTCACCTCACCTCTCACCTGACTCTCAAGAGTCTCAATCGTCTCAAACATCTGAATTGCTTTACTGGTCCAGGCTAGCCTATGTTCACCCTTCCCTGTCAGTGAGGGACAGCAAAAAGCATAAGCATAAAAGCAGAAATGAGACGGGCAGCCTACATGACGTCAAACACCCCAAATCAGAAGCCCGCCATGCTCAGTAAGCTTTGACCGAAATTAATTGGCAGCGGACGATGGGCACTGTTTTTGGTTTCACACAGAAATGAGTTTTCTCTTTAGTGTTCGCGGTCGCTTGTGTTCCCCAGGTTCAAGCCTCCCCAAAGCGAGCCAAACCTAGCGCGACCATCGAGTCTACAGTGGAGGGAAGGGAAAATCCTTCGAGGTAACAGATCTCTCTATGATGTGCACTAACTGCACATGTTTTGCGTTGAGATCGCTTCGCTTCGTCTTCCATCATCGGCCCCCTTCTCCACGTGGATGCGCCTCCGTTCTCCGTCGAGAGAGGGTCAAGAGCCCACCCCTTTTGCGCCTCAGTTTCAGTGTTCTTTTGAGTGTTCCGGCAGGGAGGACGGCGTGGACGGCACCAGGGACAATACTGTATGAATAAATGTGTGCGGTAGTTGGACAGTGGAGAAGGGGCTTCAAGGGGCGATGAATTTGTTTATTTGCAAGGGGGCAGCAAGGGGAAGAAGACGAAAAACGGAGGACAACTGTAGGACAGCGACGAGAATGTCACTGAATGATTGACTGAGAAGTGTTTGCAGCATGCGCTGATCGCTGGATGCAGGGCCGCTGAGACAGAGAAACGACTGTTTGGGTCCCAGGAAGACCCTCTCTTGAAGTCTTCTCTCAGTCAATCAATCACTCTCTGACTTTCCGCTCCCGCTTTCTGCAGAGTTCCCAGTTCATTTGTTCTCGACCAGTCCACTTCGTCCCTGACGAGCTTTCCTCCACAAATTTCCTGCAGAAAGATTGGAAAACGAATGACTAGATGGGCATAGCGCGCCCCCCTTCACGCGTAACCCAGCCACCCCCTGCACCACTTGACTCTTTCCGTCCTTCCGTCTTGTCACTCTGGAGTCTGTTGTCTCGAGTAAGAGACGGAGGGAGGGAAACCAAAACGGACAGCTAGACGCTATAACGGTTGACAGCGCTGAGAGCTAGGTAGGAGCTGGAGGTTGGCGCACCTTTTCAGCTGTTGTTATTGACGCCTCGTGCAACACGCGCGACACCTTTGTTGACCGGGGCCTTTGTTCCCTTCCTAGACACCAGGATTGTGTCGAGCAAGGTATTGTCCTCGTTTTTGCAACCACAAAGAAGGGTCTGGTGGCAGGGAACGCAGTTGACAGGACAGCAAGCCAAGAGAACGCCCTGTGCCGCAGAGGTGCCGTGATGGTGTCTTCGATAGCCAAGCCTTCTCTTTTTCCCCCTTCGGATGGCTGGCGCTGCCGTAAAGATGTGCCCAGCTCGCTCGGCCGGCCCGGGTAGCTCAACTCTTTAGCTTGCTGGCGCTGCACAGCCCGGTTTGTGCTCTTCCATCATCAATATTGGGGGCCAATGGGGCCAATCAGTCAGAGACATACGCGGCAAGGTCAGTGAGTTGACGAGCATCACGGACTCCCGTGTTGCGTGCAGCAGGCTGCAGCGAGTGTCAGCAAAACGATGTACGGATACGTGAGAGTTAGAATTAGGACCAGAGCAAGATAGAGCCCGAGGACCGCTGACAACAAGTTGAAGAGAAGAAAAAGACTGCAACCAAGTTGTGACCGAGCCTTCCGAGCTACGGCGGGACGAAACCCCCATGGAGATTCCACCATTCAGGCTCCCGTGGTACGGTACTCCGTACAGAATACGGAACCCAAGAGAGGAGGGGAGCCACAACCTAAACCTGAAGATGCAGCAATCCTTGTCCCGCCCTCGATCAGGGACCGGACTGCTTTTCGCAGCTCGCTAGAGGGGAAACGCTGGTCAAGCTGGAACCCCGGCCCCGGTTTCTGACCCAGCCGGTGGCCACTGGTCCGTCGAGTTGATGAGGAGCCTGTCGTTTCTGCAGCGTTTCCCATGCTTTCAGCGTAGCAAGGCCCCGGTGATCGTTAGTGTTTCCCCTCTTGGGCCCGTCGACAGTGTGTGTTGTCGCTGTGGCTAGTGCCAAGTTTGTGTTCGTTGTCGGGAGTGTCGTGCTGTGCTACACACACAGTGAATGCTGAGATGTAGAAGTGGTGGTGCCGTGGAGGATGGATGAATGGAGGATGGGGGGATGCAGGCGCTGTTTAGCCGTTTGCTGGGGCTGGCGCTTCTGCATCGGCAGGTCAGGACAGGCCGGGAAATGTACTTGTGCACACACCTTGAAAGTGGTGGCAACCAAGGTACCGCCCCTGGGTCGTACCATCCCATCGATCCATCGCCCGTCCTTGGTCGGGTGTCTTACCGCGCATTTCTTGCTTTTTCGCCCTGTCGATTTCTCCCAATTGCCCATGTTCCATCGGCATCGGCTCTGCCATCCAAATTCAGTCCCGTCATCAATCCTGCGTTTCCCTCATCTTGTCTCCTTCTCACCACATTTCCTCCCTTCCGCTTCCTTTTCCTGTTCGTCACCTTCACTTTCGCCAAGTATCCGACACATTTCAACAAACCACAACCAATCCGTCTCCGATCTTCTTCTCCTCTCCCGTCCTCTTCCCTACTCTCGTCCATCTCTCCATACGCTCGCTTCGTCACTACAACACGGAGAAGCCTCGAATCCCATTATCAGCCGTGCCGACCGACATCGTCAAGCTTCACGCACTCGACGTTCGCTTCCCGATCATCGTCACTCGCTTGCACCACCTCCGCCCTGGCCGACCGACGTACAAACGACGAGGAATCCAGACCAAAGTCCACCGAAACGCCGCTTTACAGGACCCGTCCTAAAGTATACGAGAATCTCGCTTCCTCCAAATACCTAAGCCCCATCCTCCGAAGCCCGAGCCGACCGAACACTGGTGACAAACACCCGCAATTGTTAGAATCCACGCTTCCTCGACGTGACAAGCCGAAACACGAAAAATCACAAGAAGGACTTGCATACGCACGGAATCTTTCCCGGAAATTTTCAGAACTTGGCTTTCGTGCATCTAAACGCACATTACGACGTTTTGAAGCAATCTGTGCGGCAGAACCTGGGACGGCAGCTGGACCTGGCTCAACCTCGATCGACTTGGGACGAAAACCACACGCTGACGTGCATATCCGCCAAGGGCACTATTCGCAACCCGGGATTTTTTGCTGCGACCAAATTCAATCTGCGAATTCACCGCTGCCAACTGTGCATCGCATTCCTCTCCGGCCGCCAATCTTCTGGGCTTGACTCGCTGGATTGTGGCTCAATTTCGCACTCGTGCCACCCGACGTGTCTTGGACCACCGCAATAAGGAGGGAATACCTACCATCGATTGCTTCCAACGTCTCCGCATTCCAACGACTTGTTTTGGCCGTAACGGCTGACAAGTTGCCTACTTCTCTCCGAATTCCTTCTCCTTTTTCCCTCTCCAACGCTCCATCTGTTCCCTTACTCTCCAACAACTCGCCAATACCGTCAAGATGTGTAAGTGACAATCCCGCAAATTTGGACGGTAAACCCCTAGCTAAACATAATGCAGCTGGCCTTTCAACAACGATTATGCCCTTTGCGCAGTTGCCCGCGTGCGCTGTGAACTGTGGCCCTCTCTACGACGCCAACGGCGCCTGTGTTCCTCCTGCTGTCGCGGCAGCAGATGCCAACACCTACGACAGATGTTTCTGTAGCCAGGGTGTTCTGCAGGCCTTCTCAACAGCTGCCGGCGGTGTCTGCCCCGCCGCTGGATGCGACGACGCTGGCTTCAGCAGTATCCAAGGATGGTACACTTCATTCTGTAATTCTGTCACAGGCGGCGCTGCGACTGCATCTTCGTCCTCGGCAGGATCTTCCTCGACAAGCGGAGCTTCAAAAGGATCCTCCAACAGTGGAAATGGCGGCGATTGGTGAGCCTATTCTAGAGCCTTGCATCCCCGGCAATCGCTAACCTATCCAATACAGGCTCTCCAACCACTGGAGATGGGTGGTCATGCTTGTCATCCTCGTTGTCGCCATTGCTGGCATCTGGGTTGGCGCCTGCATCTGGCGCCGACGGTACCTCCGCCGCAAGGACCGCATGTATGAGCTCGGCAAGCACGCACACAAGGGACCCAGCGGCATCATTGCTGGTTCTGGTGTCAATGTCAACCAAGCTGGTATCGTCAACTCCCCCGGCCAGTTCATGCCGGGCCCGCCGCCGGCCGTATACGATGAGAAGCCCCCCAAGGAGAAGAAGAAGTGGGTTGTCAACGAGCGGACATAGAAGTGCGACTTCGGTAGACATGTTGTGCGGCATCACTCTTCATCACTATCTCTCAACGGCTTAACGAGACGGCGTTCACATATTTCACGGCATTGGTGTTTGGACATTCACACATACTTGTTCCCAGGCAATACTTGTTGCTCTCTTTTTTTTTTTCCTTTGGTCATTGATTAGGCGTACGGCTGGAAACAATGGAGGGTTCTGTCGTTGGACACAAGCAACATTGGTGGTCCTGGTTCTTGACAGTGAAACCACGCAATCAAAAAGGGCAGGTTTGAAGGGGCGGAAACAGGCCGATGGCAGGAGACCCCCAGTCTCACACAGCTGCGTAACAGAAGCGGCCTGTTTCCCTTGGGCCCCGGGGGGCAATGTTCTTCGAAGACAGGCCCCGAAAAGCGGGAGGACTCGCTTGGTCAACTTAGCATCATCCAAAAGCCAAATGGTAATTTCTCATACCCGTTTACAACCACAGCCACTGAAACGCTTCACATCAAGAGCACCAGCAATGTTTTGTTTTGCAACTGTAACTGACTCGATGCCGATATCCCGTGGTTGTATCCGTATGCGCAAGCTGTTTTTTTCAATCCCTTGCCAAAGAGTGTTATCCACAATCATGAGGCTTGTCTGAGCGGGTCGATCAAACAGTCTGCCATGTGGGCGCAGAGGTCCTGGCACCTGCAGGATGTTTCGCAGGCATCGCGGTGGATTTTTCGATGGTTCTTTCTTCATAATTGGTTCGAGCTTGTGTGCGGGACGAGTATCGTTTGCACTCCGCTTCGGCTTCACTTGGAAGAATTCGGCGTCCACTATGTCGAGCTCTGCTGTTCAATTGACGGGTCTTGTAACTACTGCCAATTGTCATTCAAGATGATCAGACTCTATAGGTAGCTTGGACGAGATACGTTGAAGGGTGGGGCTCCCCCCGCAACGAAGGATGGCAAGAAGAGGCGAGGACGCAAGTATTGTATCTCTTTGTTTTTGGCAGTATGCTTAAAGTCTTTCGTTCCATATCTTGCCTGTGTGACGAGCCCAACATTTCTAGTTGATATCTTGATCAGATCAAGGTTGTGGAAGAGGGTTTATAGCGTACACGGTGTTCCAGGTTGCGAAGTTCCTTGTGATGGCATATCAACATGCATGTTCCTGCCAACCACTTCCTGAAGTGTAAGTAATCTGACTTTCGTCCGAAAATGAGTGAACACGGACAGGTAAATTTCTACAACTGTGATAGGTCCCAGCCGGATACATGATCTGCGAATGAAAGTCTTCGGCCATGATCATGTAACAGGATGTCTTTCGTGTACACATTAGGTCTCAATTGAGACTTCTTCCTCACTCAATCACAGGCGTGGACACCAATTCAACGGCTACCGGCACGCGAGCTCAAACTAGAGAGGGTGCTCTTCATTCGTGCACCTATGAATGGTCGCACAGACACTTGCAACTATCCGCATGTCTTGTAAATACAAGACAAAGACATCATCCCAAGCATCTTGACTCCCCTCGTCTTCCCATACATGAGTTGGCAAATTGACTCTGTCTTCGTCTTTCCAATAATTGTTCTACCACCTGCCGTTTTCTACAGCCATGGCCGATGAACCAACACCCAACCTCCCAGCCCACCGCATCCCCACAGACAGAGACACAAACTCGCCATTCTGGACCTCCCCCCTCTCGAGGAACACACAAAACGGCTCTTTGTTGAACACGCAAAGATCCCAGAAGATAAGATCCACGAACACCTCGAAGAAGCTGTAAGTTGCTCACCGCCCGACCTCTCAAACTCACACTCACATTTCCTCCCCTGGACTTTCTCAAACCCGACTTCCTCAGCATCGTCAACGTAATACTAACCCGCGGCCTCTCTCTCTTCAGCGCAAAAAGGCATGGAACGACTGTCCCTACCCATGGATAGGCCTCTGGCTCTTCCTCAAGCTACAACTCCGCAACAACAAGGAATTCGACGAAGCCGTACGGCGTACGCAACGAGGCGAGAAACTCCTCGACTTTGGATGGGCCGTTGGACAGGATCTACGTAGTCTGGTGCGTCTACCTTATCCTTCCCTTCCATTTGTCCTTCTTTTTTTTATCTCTCCTGCCTGACCTCTTACACTCTACGCACCTTCACCACCAACCCCATAGAAAGCCATGTAATATCATCAAACCATCCTGGCCATCAACCAACTTACATACAACTTCCCAGGTCCACGCAGGTTCACCCCCACAATCCCTCCACGGAACAGACCTAACCCCCTCCTTCTCCCCCGCCGGCAAACACCTCTTCAACGACCCTCACACCCCAATAGCCTTCCTCCGCGCAAACGCCCTCAACCCTCCCCTCCACCTGGCGGAACAACTTCTCCATCATAACCGCAAACCACGTCCAGCACTGCTTCAGCCTACAAGACCAGGAAACCTACGCCGCCTTCCTGCTAGCTCTACTCTCGGGAAAACCAAACAACCTAATCTTCGGCCGCACGGCGGGCTCGACGGAAGGCGAGGCGCGGAGGGAGGAGATGCACAAGGGCCAGACAAGGGCCAGAGGCTGTATAGGCACACGGAAGCGAGACTTGTCGCGTTTTGGACGAGGGTGGCGGCGCAACATTGGAGGAGGGTGAGGGTTGAGACGTGGGTTGATGAGGTTCCTGCTTTCCAGCTAAGGGGCGAGGAGATGGAGAGGTGCGAACCTGTCAAGAATCTCATGTATTCGATTCGGTTTGAGTGGGGTGTTATGACAGGGGTGCGGCACGCGTCAAGATTACGCAAAGCCCAAAGTTATTCACCCTCGTGTGCTTTAACTATGCGACATCTACAAGTGTGACACAAGCGAAGAGGACGCAGTTCAGAGGTACCATGCTAGGTTATTAATGCAGTCTATATATATACCATTAAACGCGTGTCGTGTTCGGATCCAAAAATCAACAAAGTTCAAACTGCTTTTGATCGGGCCCAGGGTGTCTTCTCTGCATCATCCGCGTGGAAACTCTCAAAGCGTCTAACTAATTTGAATACAGTCCCCAGTAGGAGTTATTAGTTTTCGCAACGTCGAATCATTTACTTGGTCCTTACAGGTAAGGCGATTTTGGCTTTGTCGCTTTGCTCTTCAGCCGCATCCATGTACAAGTCAATCAGACAACCGGCAGACCACGCCTGTGTTGGGCACTGTTGTTTGTTAGCAAATGGGCCACTGTCTACAACAAGAAACAACTTACAGAATCGGGGCAATCTTCGCCATCCTTCTGCGTCAGTTCCGCGAGTCCGGCCCAGACGCTTTCTCGGATCATCTGCTTGCAGCCCATGAGTCTCCGCGTGACTTGCTGGAAGGCCTCGATGCGTCCAGCCTGGTCGCCTCTTCTGGCGAGGTCAAACTTGAGCAGGGCACGGAGGAAGAAACCAGTAGGCCAGAGCCATTCCGGACCCTGGTGGTAGTTTCGTCCCTTGCTGGTGGCGAAGTCCTCACTGTCTTCGCTGTTGCGGTAGTACGGCCTGTAGTTGAGATCGGCGGGGTCGAGAGTTGCCATGCCTGTAGGCCCACGGATGGACTTGTCGGCTACCAAGAGAGCGTGCAGCGCATGCGCGGGATCGAAGAGCTCAGGTGCCGCGCACATGGCGATGGGGAAGTTGGCACGCAGCTGGTAGTCTTCGTACTCCTTGCCAGACTTATACAAGTCCTTGTAGATACCACGGCGATTAATGACCTGCGGGTTGACATCGTACTTGGCGTCTTCCTCAGAAGAAAGAGGAACCCAGTAGCATCGCTCAAAGTTGTCACGAATCAGGTTGGCCCACTCTCTGTGAGAAATCGTCGACTCGTCTGCCTTCTTCACGGACGAATACTGGTACTTGCCTTGCTGGTTGAGCGACGCCACCCACTTCAGAGTGCTGTATAGGAGACCAGTAATCTCAATGGCAGCACCGTCACGGGGTGTGCCGGGAACACCCTTTGAGCCAGCCTTTTCGCTTTCGCCCATCTTGTCCATCCATGTACCGCAGTTATTCTGGTTACCGCCAAAGATGATGCCAGTGTCCCAGTCTGTCTTGATGGAAATGTTGAAGCCATTGTCACTCATCTGCGAGTCGATCGAGGGACCAGCATTGGCCTCACGGAAGGACATGCCAGATGCGTGTCTCTGCAGCGCTTCCTGGATGATGTCCTCGATGGTGCTCTCCTGGGAATAGGTGCGGGAGTCATCGACATCGAACCAGGTGTCGTCGTAAGGCAGGAAGCGTCTCTTGACCTTCTCCTGGAGCAGATCCAATCCATTGGGTGCGAACTTGGTGTAGTCTTGGATGCACTGAAGGAAGAACCAGATGGAGTCGCGAGAGTTGTAACGCGGTAAAGCTCCGCTGCTGAGCAGGTTGGGAATCATGCCGTGCTTTAGAACGCTGGCAAAGGCAAGGATGTGCTCCTTTGCTTCGTCGAAACGGCCGGTGCCAAGGTAAAGACCACGCAAGGAGATGAAGACGTCACGTCCCCAGCATCTCGCCCACTCGACGGCAAAATGAGGCAGACCGGCAGCCAACGATGGGACCAGCTTCTTGGGCCACAAAGAGCCGGATTTGACCAGGCCAGTCTCTTGCACGCTGACCATGGCGAGACTTTGGAGGAACCATTGTCCTTCGCGAACGTTGTCGTTCATGAGTTCAAGTCCACGCTCCCAAGAGGCAGTGTACAAGGTGCGCAGAACGAGGCCAAAGTATCTCGGCAGCAAGAAGCTGGGGATCTTGCGAATAGCATCAAACCGCTCCTTGAGCCAGACGGCGGGCTTCTCAAGGTTCTCAAAGTCGGGAGTCTTGCTGATGCGCTCCAGGCGTCCGACAATGTAATCCAGAGCCCATTGGCCGTCACGGAGATTCTGGCACAGAGGATGAGCAAGGTTGTTGTCCCGGATGATATCCTTCAGAAGACTCCACCATCCCTGAAGACCGGCATAAACGAGCTTGCCGTAGCCGGGAATCTCGTAGCAGCCATCGTTGCCATCGCTTCCATCACGTTCCTCGGCCTCACATCGGTAAAGCAAGAAGTTGAGATCCACCAGGTTCAGGTTCTCAACCGCGGACCTAGCTCCCGAAGTGACGTAGTTGTCGAGACCAGATGAGTGCTCAGCTGCCGGGATCCATGTCTCGAAAAGAGCAATGCTGCCAGGAGGGAACTTGTCGCGCACAGTAATAATGGTATCGTCGCCCTTGACTTCCATGCGAACGCCGGGGACATCTACGACGCGGCTAGGCAGGCCACGCAGCAGCTTCTTGTCGTCCAAGGCCTCCTTGCGAGCCTCATCGCTTGCATCCACCTCAAGCATCCAGCTGCCAAGATGACGGGCTTTGGTGCCTCCAAGGTGTACCGCGTTGAAAGCGCCATTGCCGTTGCCGTAGCCAGGGAAAGCAGTGTGGGCAATCAGGAAGTATCCCTTTCTCGACTCAGGGTGTACTCTGTGTACGGTGATGTACTGATCCTCATGATGAATGTGAGTCTCGTCGTATCCGTCCTTGCCCATGAGGGTGTGGATCTGGTTCAAGAGCTTCTTGATGCCACCAATGCCGTTTCCGCCGCCACCAATCTTAACAGGCTTGGAGGATGACTCAGACGTGTACAGCCTAGTCTCGTTGACGAGGTCAACAAGTTTGGGGTAGATCTCATCATAACCCATGACACTGCCAGTTGCACTAGCGCACATGTTGACCAGAGCAGCGTTCGGGAGGGTATCGCGTGCATCACGCTTCTGAGCCGGGGTCTCGTTGTCATGAGTGCAGTCCATGAAGAGGGCCTGAACTGGTACAGGCTTGATCCTCCGGATGATCTCTCGCGAGGACGGGCTGCTCCCGTTGAGCAGGTCGCTGCCTTCGTTGGCCGGGCTCATAGGGCTCATTGGAGACTTGGGGTCTGCCTTTGAAATCTCGTCAACCTCGAAGCTTCCAATGGGACGACCGCCGTGCTTATGAACCAGGCGACTGAGCTCTCCGGTGCTCCATGCTTGCATGGCCTCACGGATCAAAGCACTCAGA